CCTGGTCTAATGCATATTATATCTCAATAGGTCTCATTTATTTTCACACAAAATGTTCGTTCTTGACGATATGACATAAGTATTGCAGTAATATAGTCATCTAGACCTATATGCAATAGTTTGAATTTTAATCCCTCCGTTCAAACTGTATCAAAGGCTTTAGCTACATCTAAAAAGGATATAGTGGTGTATTGCTTATTTTCAAAACCTTTCTCAATAAATTCTGTAACACGCACCAATTGGTGAATCGCTGAATGACCCGTTCGAAAACTAAACTGTATGTTTGGGATAATATTTCTTTTCAGCAACTGATCTTGAACTCTTCCCATTATAATTTTTTCAAACAATTTTGAGAGAGTCGGTAAGAGGCTTATAGGACGATAAAAGACTGCTCTGTTTTCCTGGCTTGGGAAACATTTGTAGCTCAGCTATTTTCCAAGCCACTGGAAAGTAACCAATTTTTAAGCATGAATTGAAGATATCAGTTAAGTGGCTAGGACTTTTAGAAGGAAGGTGTTTTAGAATTAGATTTGGTATACGGTCATGAACTTCGGTCTTTCTATTGGGTGGATTGTTAATTAAATATCTGATTTCTTCATTTGTTACTTCTTCATCTACTCTTTCTATTCGCGGAAGATGAGTTTCATTATATGTTTGAATAGTAACAGAAGGAGACATGCTTTCTCGAGGTATATAAGGAGTAAATGTTAATTGAAGATAATCAGCAAAGGCTTGAGTTTTTCTTGCATTAGTGGAGAACTGATTATAGTCATGGATAATTGTAGGAATTTTTTCGTGTCTTCTCAGTATTTTTCTTGTTGTTATCCACATTCATGGATCTTTATTATCCATATTTTAGAAGATTCTGATAATTAGCAATCCGATGGGATTCTAAAGCTTTAGTGATAGTATTAGTCAGTTTATTTAATTTCTGCTTTAAGTCAGGATTACGTGCTCTTTGCCAGTTACGTCCGATCTCCCTCTTTTTTCTTTGATTAGGTCGAGAATATATTTAGGTGGTAAATAATAATTCGTTCGAATAGTTCTATTAGGTTTAATAAACTTTCTAGTAACATCTTTGATTCTCGAAGTAAGTAATGAGATTAACCTATCTATTGAGGTAGGATTCAAAAACAAAATTTTCTAAATTAATACTGCTCATCTCTGATTCAAAGGCCTCCCAATCTAGAATTCCATTTATCAATTTAGGAATAGGGGGCTGATATGACGACTTTTGATTTATTTTGCAATTGATTGACGACGTTGAGCTTTCCGAACTTTTTGTAAGAACTTTTAGTTCAGGATTTTTTTTGTTGTTCTTTTTTAGTTAGCTGTTATGACTGTTAATATTTTGATTTATAAGTTATTATCCTGCACCGAGCGCATTCGTAAATTAGGATATAGTATGGTTTATTTATGGCATCATGGAAGAACGGGCTACCGAATCATGCCATACGATTGGTTGGTCGTCGGAAGATAGAAGCTGTGTTTTATTGTAATTATTATTATTATTATTGAAAGTAATTTCCTTTTTGACAGTGATAATAACCGGGGATGATCAGAACTCAATTCCTCTATACCCGTTTGAGCTAAAGGAAGATTAAAGTTTTTGGTGATAACTATATCCAGTATGTCAGGTAGATGATCGTCTCTGTATGGATAATAGGTATATTAGTTTGACGTATGTATTTGCATCTGATGTAAACTTGATAATTCTTCTAGACATGAACCTGCTGGATTATCAGCTCGGCATCCCCATATTTTCAATTTACTATTCAGATCTCCAATTATTATAAAAGGACCATAATTATTCAATAGTTGACTAATTTCTTCTTTTATTAATTTACGGTTGGGTTGTCTGTATGCACAAATGATTGTGACTATTGTCATGTTTCTTGGATAAAGTTGGATAGCAACCGTCTCTAGCGAAGTGTTCACTAATGTAAGGTTTGTGTTAATGTACGTTTAATTAGTATCGCTACATCGCCTGAAGCTGTTTGAGAGTTGCGGTCAAATCTATAAATATTAAAGCCAGGTATTCGGAACTCTTCTCCCAGAACTAGATGAGTTTCGGTTATACATGCCAAGTCAATATTATAACGAGCCAAAAAATCCGATATTAAATTGTTCTGCTTCTTCAGACCATTCACATTAAAGTTTAAAATAGTGATGTTTTTGATTTCGTTTATGGTGACCTTAGGCATGTGGGAAGGAAAGGAATAATTCGACAGTATGAAATTCGAGTTATTTCTCTGTATAATACTTTTTGTTAGTTAAAATTCTTCAATCGTTTATAGACGTAGTTGATATTTAGTGAATTATTTTTGACAATAATTCTGTAGTGGTTAATGCTTTGATATCATTGATAATTTCTTTATGGTTTGATTTGTTATGTAGACGGTACTTTAGGTCCGTTTGGGAATTATTTTCCAAAGAGTTGTCATTAATATTATCACTGTAATCTTCACTAGCAAAAACATGGAACCTATTTTGCGTTAAGACATCTGGATTAAATGAAAATCGTTTATGAATGTCATCTTTTAGAGATAAATAATAATATTATCCAGTCGAAAAATGTTAAAACACTTGATGGTAATCTCTCAGACTGTAACGAAATTAACAAATTCTTTATTGCCTCTTCTCAATATGATTTTCAGTTAAATGAGTCATTACTATCATATTATAATTCCCTCTTGAAGAGTACAGTAATAGTTATTTATGTACCAAGTCGGCAAAGTGATAAAGACACTTTGCTGACGTGTTGCATACAACATTTTATCGCCAACTGCAAAATTTAACGATATGACGATATTCTAACTTACCAATATTATGACATGTGTCAAACGATTTGTTTTGTTAATATACCTCGGTAAAGTTACATTATGTATCAAAGGTCGGTAGTATAGTGGAGAGGGAAGTGCGCTTTCATACAGAAGGTACCACCGGGTTCAAATCCAGCTGTTCAACGGCATTTTTTTTCAAATTGACAGCAATTAGCGGCGGGTAAAGTAGTTTGTCTGCCGCGTTTGCGGCAGGTAAAGTACTTTGTCTGCCGCTAAATGCACAGTTTACTAGATAGTAGCACAAAGTGTCACTTTACTGCCGCAAATGGATAGCATAAAGTATGGTTTTGCTGCCGGTTGGCGATAATAGTTATTTATGTACCAAGTCAGCAGAGTGATGCTTTATCGAACGAGTCTGAGTTTGCGAGTCGAGCGAGCGAAGCGAGCGAGGCGAGTAAACAGGCGAGTTCGATAAAGACACTTTGCTGACGTGTTGCATACAACATTTTATCGCCAACTGCAAAATTTAACGATATGAAGATATTGGTACTTACCAATATTATATGACATATGACAAACGATTTGTTTTGTTAATATACCTCGGTAAAGTTACACTACGTATGAGAGGTCGGTAGTATGGTGGAAAGGCAGTGCGCTTTCAAGTAGGAGGTACCGGGTTCAAATCCCGGTGTTGTTTTACGAGATTTTTTTCAAATTGACAGCATTTAGCGGCAGGTAAAGTACTTTACCTGCCGCATATGCGGCAGGTAAAGTAAAACAAATGAATTAAATGCACACTTAACTGGACAGTAGCACAAAGTGTCATTTTACTGCCGCAAATGGATAGCATAAAGTATTGTTTTGCTGCCGGTGGGCGATAAAAACTATTTTATCCTTTACTGAGGTTTCTGATAGCACTATTGAGGTGGCAATCTCGAAAATAAAAGCGAATTCTTGTGGATCTGACGGCATCGATTTGAAGTTTCTTAGAATATGTTGCCCTTTTATTATACCGGAGATCCGACACATTACTAATTCGTGTATTGGTAGCTGTACAGTCCCGTAATGCTGGAAGCAATCACTGGTTACACCTGTTCCGAAGGTATCGCAGCCGAGTGGGTTTAGCAATCTTCGCCCTATCAGTATACTACCCACCATGTCTAAAATTTTTGAACGCGTATTAGCTGATCAGTTATGTGAACATATATATAGTCAAAATATTTTACCAAAATATCAGTCAGGGTTTCGCAATGGATACTCTTGCGAAACTGCACTTACAATGTCATTGATGACATTCACAAGGCGTCTGATTTAGGGCTTGTTACTATACTAGTAACTTTAGAATATAGCAAAGCATTCGATACCGTTAACCATAGGCTGATGACTGCTATTCTTCATTACGTCGGATTTAATAACAATTCTGTTAAATTAATTGAAAGTTACTTAAAGGGTTATGACGCCAAATGCGTTAAAAGATTTTAAATCAAAACAAAAAAAAATTAACGAAATTTTCAACAAGGACAAAACTAGTTTTATCACCCTGAGATGTACGCGAGTCCTCGACCTGCTCAGTGAAGAAGGGAGGGGTATTTATATGGCGCCACACAGTTAACCCCGCGTACAACACGAACTGTGACGTGAGATGATGGAGTATGGTGATATAAACAAATAACACAACAAAACATAAACGCTCAACAAAATAGGTTTTGAGTTGCAGACAAAATTTATTAAAACTCCCGTAAATAACAGGTAAGTAAAAAAAAATAAATTAATAACAGAATTATAAAACCGTAAACTTTTAGGTTCAAACAACAAAAAAAAACTATATTGATGTTTGCGAGCTTTAAAAAAAAGAAAGTCAAAACTGAAAGGAAATTTAAATCAAAATACCAAAAAAATGAAAATGAAAAATTAACCCGCGTCTGACTCCGTATGGTTGAGCCCAACGTGAAATCAAAAATTATAAAAAAAAATCAACGCCAAAAATAGAATTAAAAAAAAATCTCGCTAAACAAGAATTTACAAAAAAAAATTGAAATGATATTATAAAAAAAATGAAAAGGTTTAATGTTCCAATGATTAATTAATTTAAAGATTTTCTTAAGGAAAATCAAAAAATAAAAAAATATATAAGATACAAATTCTTCAATGGCCAAAATAATAGTATGTTGTTCTATCTGACCTTTACTTCAAGTCTTGATCACCGGCCCGATTAGAAAATAAATCCTCAGCAACAAATTCTGGTGACTCAGGAAAGGTAAGGTAATATTCTTTGTTTTGTTCCAAAAAAAATAATTAGAATCCTTAGGATGTAATGGAAATTATACCCTTGGACAATGGTTCCAAAATACCAATAAAAAAGTTGTTAAAATAAGAGATGCCAAAAGGTGCTCCTCTCAACAAAAACCTGGATATAGAAATTAAAAAAATGAAACGTGGAAATATTAGATTTAAGAATTTTTTGTTTGTAGGATAGTTTTTCTTGTTAAGTAATTAGTAATTTTTTTTTTTAAGTAGAAATTTTTTTTTTAAAAGTAGTTAGATTTTTTTTTTTTTTAAGTAGTTAGATTTTTTTGAAAAATAGATTTAGTAGATTGTTAGTTTAAGAATCAAAAGAAAAATGTGAAAGGGTGAACGAATATGCCAAAAACTAATTAATAAAGACCTTACAAAAATGCTTACCTCTGATGTTCGATGTTTAACCAGAAGACAGAAGAAAATGTAATGAAATACGTTGAAATCCGGAATCTCCGTACAATTTGGTAAAAGAAAAACACTTTTCCAAAACTTTATTTCGAGTGATGAATCCCACAAATATGGATTAGAAACAAAATTATACACCAAAACCAAAAATGGCGAACCTACCAAAATTTCTTTAACACTCGAGAACACGTATTGCTCCGGTAATATAGTAAGAAAGAGAGAGCCCAAGAAGAAACTTGAACGGTCTTTTATACCCAAAAATCGAAAATATCAAAAAAAATTACGTCTGCGCAAGATAACATCATGAATTTACGACACCTTCTCAAAAGCAAAAAAGAGAATTTTAAAGTGATAGGAGTTAAAAGGAAAAAAAGGAATGCTCAGAATATGTTGCTGAAAGAGAATACAATAAAATGTTATAAACAAACAAAATGTAAACAAAGTAAATAAAAATAATAATAAGTTTCCGAATGTATGCAACTCATAACCCACTACACATAAACAAGTCACCCACACATAACATAAAAATTTCGGAATGTAACAGGGTAGAACTCAGAGGGTGAGAATCGCGGAATGTATTTTGGAGCATGGAGGTGTTGCTTCTGGTGTGCCACAGGGTTCGATTCTTGGGCCGCATTTGTTTTCGATATATACTTCCTCTGTGCCTGATTGTTTATCGACTTGTAAATACCATGTATACGCGGATGATACACTTATCTATCACTCATTTCCGTTACAAGAGGCCCAAGACGCTCTTAAGCTTATAAACAATGACATTGATCGTCTAGCTAAACTGTCTGAATCGCAATCATTAGGTTAGGTTTTAAATCCGAATAAATCTTCGGCTACAATTTTTGGTAATGTAAAAGTTCGGAAGTCATTCAACAGTAGTGACAATATGTTGATCAAGATAAGTGGTACAAACATAAAATTCGTTAATAAAGTAAAAATGTTGGGTCTTGTGGTTGACAGTGATTTACGTTTCACCGATCACGTTAATACATTGGTTAGACGATCATATGGTAAATTAAAAATGCTTTACCCAAATAGACATTTGTTGAATAAAGATGTCAAGTTGATTATGTGTGATTCTTTGGTTCTTTCACCATTTAATCATTGTGATCTTATTTATGGGCCTTGTTTGATGATGAATGATGTACAGAGAATAGAGAGGGTCCAGAAGTCCTGTCTCAGGTACATTTATGGTATACGCCGTCATGAAAGAATATCGTATAAGCTGGCTAGTGCAAATTGGTTAAATATGACGGACCGACGTAAATTTCATATTGCTTGTCGCATGTTGTCTATTGTTTCGAATTATAAGCCACCTTACCTCTATGAAAGGATTACGTATAGAAGCGATGTTCATCATTTGAATTTGAGGCGTAAAAACTTAATTTGTATTCCTAAACATCGAACTCAAACTTTTAAACATTGTTTTTCCTATATCATTGGGTCGGTTCTCAACAACCTTCCTATTAGCTATTCCGGTTACACTTCGACTACAGTCCAATACTATGTTTGGCCAACGCATATGATACACCAACAGCTGGCTTTGGCCCCACAAACGCTTTAGCGCTGCCCTCTCGTGCTAGCTCATCTGCCACTTCATTACTAGCAACCGCAGAGTGACCTGGAACCCAGATCAGAGAAAGTCTGTTATCACAACTCATTGTGTTTAAAGTTCTTTTACAGTCATTAACCAGAGCCAACACCATTTTCACGGAATGCAGCGCCTGGAGAGTGGCTTGACTGTCTGAGAAAAATCATACTGCCATGTTCTTCGCCCCTCTCTCAAGAAGAATATTAGAACCCATGTCAGTAGCAAATACTTTCACCTTGGATACTTGAAAATACTTGGAAACTTGCTCAATCCGAAGTGTCTGGCAGTATACTCCTGCCCCTACCACTTCCGGCGTGTTTGATCCATCTGTGAACATGGAAATATCTGCCTGAACCAGAGAATTTTCGTTTTCGATCCTGCACTGCCGTTTAGGCAACAGATAGGCCAAGCAGACCATTCATTGTTAGAGTTGGCGTTGTGTTTACATTCCATGTACCTATCCTTCAATTACTGTTCTTTTTTCCTTCGATGCTGCCGTCGTCTTCTGGCGTACATTCTGATTCCGAGGCTGTTTAGGTTTCGTAAAGTATTTTGTCTTGTTTCTAGATTGTTGGCCTCACGCCTAACCTCTTACTAGTCAGAGGACCATTTCGCCCTTTTTCGTATCCTCGTTCATCATCTATACGAGTTGGTTACCATATCTCAAATGAGGTTGGTTAGTCTTATATATATTATTCTCACATATTATATTATTCTTTATACGTCTCTTTGATGGTGCTAACTTAATTCGCGAACTATAAGGATCAACATCCATCGGTGTTGATTTTGACATGTTGGGTCTTTCTCTTTGAATATTATTTACCGGATGAAATATTACTCTGTAAACAATTTTTGGCTGATTTTCAAGTTCACTGCATTTTCTTAGATCTGTACCCGAAGGTCTCAGTTGCACTATTAGCGAGGTGTTATTGATCAAACATGTTTTCTCTGAAAAAAAACTAAAAGCAAGCAACACACTTACTAAACGTCTTTATTATTTTTTCATCTTTCAAACTTGTATCGAAAATTTTCCTTCCGATTTTAATTATTTTTCTGCGCCACAAGATTTAATTGATAAATATAATTAAAATTTTATGAACGTTGCACAAAACGAAAAATTAAGAAACATGAAAACCTTGAAAACTACTTAATAATTTTCGAATTTATATTACAATTTGTTGAGTTAACACTTTGACATTTAAAAATTAAGTATAAAAGGATATAAAATGCATCTTCAATAATTTAATTTTACATTTGATATCAAAACGTTGAAAACATGAAAATTTCTCTTTTAATATCCATTTTACTTTGTTTAGTTTTGACTCAAGCAGATCCCCTTCGTAAGTATATTCTTTTAATTATATATAAAAATTGATCCAATTAATTAAATTATAACAGCTAATTACATAAAACCTTGCAAAATAACCGATGAACAGTGCATCATTGAAAATGGAAATTTAGCATGGCAAAAACTTATTTTTGGTAAATAGAAGAAATTAATTAATTATTTCTTAAATTTGTTATTTTATTTTAGGCGATAAAGACTTCCAAATTCCAGTTTTAACCCCAGTTTTTGAATTAAACGAAGTCAAAGTTGATTTAAATCCGAATTTCTTTTTACATCATACGAATATAAAAATGAATAGCGCAAAATCTTACACAATAAGAGGCGCTAAGTAATTTAAATTAAATCTAATTAAGTTGGTTGCAAATTTAATTTTTTAGGTACAAATCAGATGAAAATAAGTTAGCGTTTACACTTTTTAATCCATTAAACGACGTCGATTCTTTATACGAAATAAAATTGATCGACTTTCTTGGCAAAGATATTAATGGAAAAGGAACTTTTAAGTTAGATATTAGTAAGATATTATTCTGTTAATAACAATTTTTTTATTTATTTACTTCAATATTTTAGTTAATGCTAATTATACTTTCGATGTATATTTAAAAACCATCACGAAAGAATCCGTTGATTACCTCAACGTTGATAAAACAACCTTCGATTTTCTCCCAGAAAAAATTTCTTTTAAATTCGCTAACTTATTTGATGGCGATGTAACAAAAGGTAAATTACAAACGAAGAATTAAAAATTGAGAGTTTATTTATTACTTTAATTTTAGGAGAAGACGCAAATTTACACATTGAAAATCATTGGCGTGAATTTTACGAAGAAGTAAGGACATCTTACAGCGCAGTTATGGCAAATTTAGTAAAAGGCATTTTCGACTCTTTCTTGAATAAGATTCCGAAAACCGAACTATTTTTGAACTAAAAACCATCTTAATAATTTTGATCAACAATGTGTATTTTGAAATTTGATAAATAAAAGTGTGTAACTTTTATTACTTTATATCTTTCCAAAAAATCATCCCATCGTTATTTCTAACGGCAAGAATGCGTTTATATATCTCATTTTAAAGCCCAAACATTTTAGTTGATGATAAGGTATTGAGTTAATGGTGTTTGGTTATAGGAATTACGCGTAATAAGATCATAAACAGATCGTTGCAAAATCAACTTTTGTTAGTATTTATGAAGAAAATTAAAAACTTCAAAAAATCGTCCCATCATTATTTAGCTTTATACAGGGTGAGTTATTAGTATCCCGGCGGACGATAGTTGCTAAACCGCTTGGGAAAGAAAAATATGTTTTATACAAAAGTTGTTTGACTCACCACTTTCTCTCCGCGTTATTCATTTTCGTTCCGTGTTTGATTGTTGTATATATACAACAATCACACATAAAAATATAATCTAACTACAAATATTTAAGTTTTCCCAAAATGATATATTTAATTAAAGACACCATACATTTGAAACAAATATATTTAATTGAATTAAGAATATAGATAGAATATATTATTAATTATATTTTTTATTTATTAAGATATAGAATATATTTTAAATTAGAAAGTAATATTCTCAAACATTATATTAAATTCAATTATAATATATTTGAATTGAATACACGTTTCCTTACGTTAAGGAAATAAGAATACTTCTTTGAATGAATTTCAAAACCTCAAATAAATTAAACTTATATCTTCAATTTAAATATAATTCTAAAACTAAGAATATAGTATATTTTACACAAGTGAATTTCGTACATATTTACGTACGGTTTGGATCTATCTGATTCAAGTGGGGGTAAAGGTAGGAACACACCATACGCACGTTGTATAAGCTTGCGTGACAGCTCACAATTGTGTGAGCGTCTTATCTCGTACTATTTCTTAGGGTGCGTTTACGTTGGAGCTGCGATAAACGATAATAGCGGCGATACTAGCAAAACAACGAAATTGTTGTCATAGTTTTATATGCAGGTGTTTATATCTGTAGCATAGAGGTAAACTGTCGTATGTCCATATTTGAGCAAATTTTAGATTATATCATTTTACCTCTCAAAAATCTTCAAATTTTGCTGTGGCAAATTTTGGTATGTCCAACTCTGCTAGTTTTCCATATATTTACGTTAGAAACAGTAGCATCTCCTGTAATGCAATGAAGTAAACAATATTATGTCCTTTCGCGGTAGTATGCATGACTGGCGTGTCTTATTTTCGTTAATATTATAAAAGAGAAATTTCTGAAACCAGCTTGCCGACCCTGTAAGAAAAAATGTTCAGGACAAATAAATGAAGATGAACGAAAAGAAATATTTCGCAATTACTGGGATGAGCCGAAAACTTGGGATCTGAAAAAACAGTTCATACGGAGCCATGTAAGAAGTGAACCCATTAGGCGAGAAAGGTGAAAAGATTTTAGCAGGTCTGGCAAAAAAACAAACAATTCGATATCATTTTGATGCGAATGGGAAAAGAGTTGAAGTTTGCAAAGTGTTTTTTCTGAATACATTAGGGGTTTCAGAAACAGTAGTAAGGACGGCTCTAAGAAAAGGAACAACCGGAGGTTTTGTTCATCAGGATATGCGAGGTAGGCATACACCTCCAAACAAACTTCAGGAAAGTGTCCTTGACCAAGTTAGAGCTCATATAACTTCGTTTCCAGTATATGAAAGTCACTATACACGAGAAAAAAGTGCAAAAAAATATTTGGGAACTGAACTTAATACTAAAAAAATGTACGAACTCTACAAGCGAAAGTGTCTTGAAGATGGTACTCCAAAAAATGAAGTAGTCAAGCATTGGGCTTACAAACGCGTTTTTGATAGAGAGTTTAATATAGGTTTTAAGAAACCCTCTAATGACACATGTGATGCTTGTGATAGTTTCATTTTAAAACTAAAGGACGATTCTCTAGACCAAAACAACAAGGAAGATGTTCAGCAGGCGTACCGTGATCATCTTGACGAAGCCTAGAAAAAAGGAATGACAAACTCATGAGCAGAAGCACCAACAAAACAAAAGTAATAATGTTGGACTTGCAAAAATGCTTACCTACACCGTATCTGTCAAATTGTCAAAGTTTCTACTTGTTAAAATTGTGGACACTCAATCTGACAATATATGATGCTACAGAAAAAAATCATACTGTGTAACTTGGGACGAGTCAAAAGCTGGAAGAGGCGGAAACGAAATAGCCTCGGCGTTATTGAAATGGGCTGCTAGTGTTCTTTCTGGAAGTGAGTTAGAACATTTGATAATATGGTCCGATAACTGCCCAAGCCAAAACAGAAACATAATGGTGTTAATCAGTTACTTTTGGCTTTTAAATGTATGCCCTTCCCTAAGAACTGTTACTCATAAATTTTTATTGCGTGGACATACCCACATGGAAGCCGACCATACGCATGCATTAATTGAAAGAACCGTCAAAAAACAACCACCAACGCAAATTGTGACTCCTTGGGATTGGGAGCAGCTGATTCGAAGTTCTGGTGCGACAGTCTTTAGTATGGAAGTAGAGGATTTTAAAAATTTTGCTGCATTATATAGCTTTCCAGGGGCTCCCTTTAAAAATAAAAAAATAAATACCAATAAGGAAAACTTTCTGATATCTACCGTTGTTTGGATGGAAGCACGTGCTGAGACACCATCAAATATTTTCTACAAAACAAAATTGGAAGAAGAAACTTTCAAGATAGTGAATTTTTCCAGCTCCGTTAGACAGCGTTTAACATTACCTGCTTGCTTACCTACAATACGAGACACTCCAAAAGGTGTAAGCAAAAAGAAAAAGGAACATTTGGTCACCTTACTCAAGTGGGTCCCGACCACCTTTCATTCTTATTATCAAAATATACCTACAGCTTCAACTAACGATGATGATGAAGGATGAACTTCACGTTGTCGATTTTTTTAATGAATTTTTTCTTGCTGTTGTACTTTCTAAAGTTTTTTTTAAGTTTAATATAATACTTTGCAACACAAAATGAGTAATAAGTTTTTTGAGGGTCTGTTTTTTAATCGAGGTAAATAACCTTATGTCCACTAAATCATATTTTATGACTAGTGCATAAAAGTTTAATATACATGATTGTGTAGCCCAGATAATATTTAGATTAAGTTCAAAAGGTCTCTTTTCATGCAAAAAATCTTTAAAATTGATTTTCTCAGCTTTTCATAAATTGGACATACGACAGTTTACCTCTATGCTACAGATATTGGAACGAGAGCTGCGATAAACGATAAGAGCAGCAATGAGACAGCGATAAGAGCTGCGCAAAATTCGTTTTTATGATATGCTGTTTACAGTGGAGTGTTGATAATAGTGACGATCTCTGCTTTGTGGGTGACGTTTCATTTATTATATTACATCAAAGCAATTAAGTAAAAATCTTTTTTTTTAAATGAGTGATTCTGAAGAAGAAATACTTTTAACTTCAAATGCTGTAAAGTATTATATTGTTGAAGTTGCAAATAAAAAGCACACATTCAATACACACACTATAAATACCAAAAGGTATACCTTTGGAGAATTTTATCACCTTTATAAACACTTAAGGCAACATCCTTCAATATTCATGGAATATACATCCCTGTACCCCATGTTGTCAAAGGTGATGATACAGATAAAGACTACTTTAATGCTAGATTATTAAGAGCACGAAGAACTGTTGAATGTGCTTTTGGAATACTGTACACTAAGTGGAGAATTTTAGGAACAGTGATACAGACATCTACAGATGTAGCTGATAATATTGTTTAAGTGTATCTGTTTGCTACATAATATTATTATTGATAGAGAAGGCATTAATCAACATGTTCAAGAAACAAGCACAACCAAAGCAAGTAATACCAAAAGAATCTGCTGAAAGACAAAAAGAATCTGCTGAAAATATTCGCAATCTATATAAAACGTATCTTTGTCGCAATCCAATTTAAGTACTATTACTATTGGAGATATACAATTATATATTTTGTCCACGACTACCTTATAATATATACCTTATGAATGAGTTTTCTAAAACAAAATGGTAGTCATTTTTCACGGAGTGAATAATAGCGGTGAATAATAATCATTATTCACGGGTAACCATCTTGACCAGACTAATAATAATTATTTCAAACGTTAAAAGTTCAAAAAACGTCAATTTAATTCAATTTTTTAGGAGTTTCTAAATGTTTGACATTAAAAAAACCTAAGCAAATTCCTTTTTTCGTATGATTTAAGCATAAATTAATTAATTTTCGTAAAGAAATCGACGTTTTATAAAACTGACATTTAATTTTGACAAATTGTTGTGAAGTTAATTACAGTTAGTAACATTGAATTTGTGTCACATTGACGTTTAACCTTTATTCAAAAATTTATTTAAAAAATAAATTTATGGAATCAATTTTAATAGTGGTGGACAAAGTATAGTATTCTACAAAGTATAGTACTCAGGTTAATTATGCCACTCGCTACGCTCGTGACATAAACTTAACCTTCGTGAATAATAGCCCTCATTATATGCTCATATAATAATATACTATTTCTGTATAAATTTCCTATTATTGCTCACACCTATCTAAAGAAATTAAATAGAATAAAATTATAAATAAATAAAAACTTCACTAATTAAACAGTACATATCCATGCCAACCACACCTGATAATAGCAAAGAAAATAGGGAATACAATTAGCGTCGCTCTTATCGTTTCTCGGCTTGTCAAGCGTGTGACAACGCATCGCTCCAATATAAACACTTGCATATAAAACTATGACAACAATTTCGTTGTTTTGCTAGTATCGTCGCTATTATCGTTTATCACAGCTCCAACGTAAACGCACCCTTATGTATAGGACACACAAGGTAGGAACACACTATGCTCACGTTGTATGAGCTTACGTGACAGCACAAGTGCTCAATGAAATGAGCTATTATGAGCACATAATAGAAATGAAAATGGAAGGAAAACTAATAGAAAAAGTAAGAAACATGACGTGTTGTACAATA